TGATTTTAGCGAACAGAATGTCAGAAATGAAATTGGAAGCCGGGCAATTGACTTCACAGCGTTAAAGAGGTGTGGTAGTTAGTAGCACATACTTCCCATACAAAAATGCCATACCACAAGGTGACGTGGATATCTTCAGATGGCCTCGCATAAAACTAAATCGACCATATAAAGAGAGAAAATAAAGATCACCTAACAATTTCTTGGGGTGAATTTGAACATTTAAAAAAAAATCCATACCTTTTTGCTTTGCTGCTGTATTGGAAAATCATAATATCAGTATATATTTTTTTAAACTGTGATAAATTAGAAGATATAAATTAAGGAAATATTTAATAGAATACCATCAATCCTTACGTTAGGGATTGCAATAAGGGCAAAGTATCTAATAACAGAAAATTCGTTGAAAAACTTGGTAAAATGTTTTCATGAGTGGTGAAAATGATTCTTTCAACAATAACTTTATCAACAATTACAGCGTAGAGTATTATCTTTCATCATTCCTACACCCCAGGTGTAAAAATCCTACACCCCAGGTGAAAAACTTTGTAAAGGATTTTCATGGTTTGCTAAAATGGTTTTATCAACCATCAAATTATCACAATTATTATTTGCGTATTTCCTTATATTATCCCTTCATTTCTACTCTGGAAGTTTGGGGAGAGTGGTTAAAATCCAGAAAATTCGCTGAAAAGTTTTGTAAAGGTTTTTCCTGGGTGGTGAAAACGATTCTGTGGATCATAATATAATCATTAATTGGGTAGAGAGTTCCTAATTATTCAGGGGGTGGAAAAGAGGGTTAAGTGATTAAAAACCAGAAAGTTTTTAAAAAAAACGTAGTGGAATTTTCACACCCCTTTTTTCAGCACCTGGAGAAATATGATAATTAAGAACTCTCTACACAACAAATTTTTATAAATTTATAATCCACAAAATGGTTTTTATCACCCACAAAACCTTTACAATGTTTTCAGCGAATTTTCTGGATTTCAGACACTCACCCCCACACCAAGAGTGGACGTGAATAGAAAATAAAGGGGAAGAGCGCAATTGTAATAATGTTATGACTGACAGAATCTTTTAACCATTCATAAACACACTTTACAAAGGTTTTTATTGAACGTTATGGTTTTCAGTAATTCACCCCTTTTTTTTTCACCACCTGGAGTAAGGTGATGATAATTAGCAACCTCTAGACAAAGAATTTTGATAAAGTTGTGGTCCACAGAATCGTTTTCAACACCCATTACCTTTATAAGGGTTACCCAATTCAACCTTTACAAAGTTTTTCCATGAATTTTCTGTGACATGGAATAAAACTTTTACATTGGTAACTATAATTTTAAAGTTATGCAGTTCTCTTACTTTCCAAACCGACTTATTATAGATTATAGACAACACCTTACCATTGTATAACAATAAACAAAGACATTGGTATAAAAAACCTTAACACTCAAAGTGCTCATGCATGTATCTAAGACATAAGTGTTTTCTATTACAAAGCAAAACGAACTGTTAATATTCGAGAGAAAAATACCCAGAAATCCCAGGAGTCATCGATATAATTTCAAGCGATACAATAAATACAATAAAATAGCTGAATCCAAAAATGTAGTTACTGGAATAAAAATTAAACCACTACACTAAACAAGTCTTCTGACCAGAGCAAATAGAAGCTGTCCTACTAGACTTACTCTAATATCGAAACCTGAGGGAATGAGACAATATGTAGATCAAGGTTGAGATATTCGGATGGCACAAATATGAACGCCAAAAAAATGGTTGTGGAAAGCTGGCACCAACCTGCAAAGAATAGAACCGAATGGAGAAATGAAGGTCCCAGGGTCGACTAGGATTATAGCACCAATGATGATGATCATGATAAGTATTCTGATACGTCGTTATCAATATCAGTATCCTTAAGAGCAATATCTAGTCAAAAATTGGTAGAAAAAGTCATTGCTTTTATATTTTAAAAACATTTGATTGTATTTTGGTAGTACTTTCAGCTTTTTCGATTTTCTTTTCATCTCATCTTGTCCTTACGGTCATTTAGTCAGTTTTGCTTGTTGTAGATTTACTAAATTTTTCCAAAATATCCGATGTTTTGTCTGATAAATCAATGTGGCTGGTTTGATTATAGTATATAATCCGGGTGGTCTGATTTTGTAGAAGACTCTTTGCAGCACAATCTAGTGGGATCATTTGAACTTGTTTTATGTAGTGTATATTTGTGTGTGTTGAGTAAATACCCTTGTACTATATATAAAGTTGCTTCATTTCTTTGCAAAGCGCTTTGGTTAATGTATCCGAACGACTGAGACATCCGAAGTGAGTACCGATCTCCAGGAGATGACAATTTCTTTTTATTTAATGGAAACTACTTGATGGTGAGATAAAAAAACACACCACGAATAACTGATATTTCTCTCGGAAGGTTACTTTGTCCACTGCACTACCACGGTGGTTACGTTACTGGTTTACATATGATAGATCTGACTATTAAGGCTGTTTTCGCAGTTATAGCATACTGCGATTTGAAGTGGGCGTATCACTTACTTTTCTACACTGCTATGTCAGACCCTACGTGACTTCCTAATAGTTTGGATGTTTATTCAGTAGCGCCGGCCCACGGGTTGTTTAAAATAAATGCATTATTCTCCATTCAAATTAGTTTTGTCGGAATACTTTTTTTTAGATTAATTATCGTAGATAATGTTTTTAAAAAGAATTAATCACATTTTTAATTTATATGTCTTAGCTAAACATAGTATTAAATAAAAATTTGTGAAACGTGACTGCAAAAAACACCATGGTGTTTATTTATAATAAATTTAAATTTTGTTATATTAATATTAATATATAATTAATATTTTGTTAATATTTGTTAGAGAAAACTGATATTAGCGTAGTAAAAATTAAACAAAAAATATTTTTATTTATCTATAAAAAATTGGTACCTGCGAAACCATCATAATAGTAAATGTATTTATCTGGCAAGTATTTCGAGGCGACGCACTGCGAGGAAAAAGTTCTCTGAATGGAATATACATTATTTTAATATATATATATATAGGTTGCAGTTACATAAGAAAAGTATCCAATTGATGAATAAAACACAAATCGTGGATAGTTATTTCATCATATCAGTGGCATTTCAGCTCGTCATGAGCCAAAGGCTTCTTCAGAACAATCTTCCATTCGCCCCTGCCTCTGGCAACTTTCTCCATGCTTTAACTCCGATGGATTTTAGATCATCCTCTATGTTATCTTGATACCTAAGTTTTGGTCTTCCTCTGGATCGTCTTCCCACTGGTCCTCTTAGGTCGAAAATTTTTCTGATCGTTTCATCTTCATCTCGCCTAATTACATGTCCTATCCATCAAAGGCGTACTAATTTAATAAATTTTACAACGTCAGGTACTACACCTGAAGATGCATCGTAGTTTACTTTATACGATCTTTTTGACCAAGCACCATCAGCTATAACGGTTATTAACCCATTTCCGTCGGAATCTACAATTTCTTTGGCTAAAGCTAATTCCTCCCGTCCAGCCTCTTCTAAGGAATCACAAAGTGTTTGGCCGATGATATCTGCAACTGTTTCCGTATGTTTTGCATACTGCCTGTAGGAAATCACAGGTATATTTAATGCAGCGTGCTGCTGCTGTATGTCTGAGCTGAGTAAGTTAAATAAAAGCTTTTAAAAACGGTTGTAATATAAATAATAAATACTAAAGCAGTGCAATTGCTTTCCTTTTCCTTGACATAGGACGTTTACTGGGACTCATTTTTTATCTTGTCTCTTATAACTTATATCACTAACCTAATGTAATACTTAAAAATTGTACGCGTAAACTAAAGAACTTTTAACTTATACCACTAAACTAATAATATATTACTTAACATACACGTAAACTAAATAATTTCAATGTTTTTAAAATAAATAAGAATACTGTAAACTGTAAAAACTAAGCAAGTTGATAAAGAAAATACAAGAATGAAAGAACTAAAATGGATTCTAATTCAAGCGAACTAACTGACCGTACCCATAGAGAAATAAAAATAAGACCGTACCGTACGCTCATGTGATTTGACGTCACTAATGCGATAACGATCAAGCTCAGCGACAATGATGAGGAACACGTTTCACTATTAGATTTCAGTATTTTTTAGCAATTTTCTTCAAAGTTTGAATACGCTTTTCTCGATTATTATTGGACACAGAAAGGTGAAAAAAGAATCAACGATTACAGAAAAAAAAACTCTTTCAACTGATGGGCGTAAAAAGTTTGGTTATAATAGAACGTTAAACAGTATAATCCAATTTTTCAACAGAAAATTCAAAAAAATAAAAAAAGTAAAACCATCAGTTTAAAGGCAACATAATTTTGTATATCATGTCCAAATTTCGAGACATTTCGTCGGTAAATAACAGAGAAAAAATTTTGGTGCACCGATAAAACAGCCTTAAAAGCTGTTTTTATCGGTGTACCAAAACCTAGGGACAGTATTTTCTCTGTTGACGGTCTGGCGTAAGCAGTGTAGAAAAGTAAGTGATACGCCCATTTCAAATCACAGTGTGCTTTAACTGCTAAAACAGTTTTAATTAAAATTTTATCAACTTTATATGTTTAAAAAGTGGCTACTAAACCATGCATCTGTTTATTTTTATGTTTATACAGTTATATATTAATCATCATTTAAACAAAATGTAGCAACAAAACACATAAACAAGTGATATTAACATTAAAATCACTAATTTGTTTACCACATTCAAAGAGCAAAGAAAAAGTTCTAGTTTCTGAGGCTACCGTGTAGTTAAGTAGGTATACCAATTCTGACATAAACGAAAAATCTTCGGGATGACTCTCGGAAAAATATTTGAACTCTAACCCCTATGAAGAAGGCATGTAGGCGGCCAAATGTCTGACTAGCAGCGCCCCCCAACAAGCTGCCAAGGGGGCAAAACGCTAGTTGACCATCACGTTGCCGGGATGTTAGGGGCTAGCGGGGAGACTTTCGTCGCTATCCAGATACGTCACGTAGCTGTCGGTACTGTCCGGGTGGGTCATTGCGTCCGACGAGGGTGCCCCGGGACCCCCGCCGCCTGGTCCCATCAGCGGATGGGGCGGGCCTCCGCCCGGCGAGGGACCAAGCGAAGGCGGCGGTAAATCATATCCATGCATCTAAAACAAAAAAATATATATTAAAATTTAAAAATACTACTAGGTAGAGCTAATCGATTTTCTAAAGAGCTACGAGTCATATCGATGCAGAACATAAGTTTTCGTCTGAAATATGTTGCAAGAATCATCCTAAAAGTTTCAGCCGTTAAATTTCATTCTATGGCAGTGTTCGTTCAGGTTGTTTCTATTCCAAATCTTTTAATAGTACAGTAAAATTTGTTTCTTTTTTAATTAATTAATAGGTATATATTATAGTTTTTAGTTTTAATCGTTAATGTAGCATTTCTATTTCACTTTGTATGTATTAAAACACAGAAAAATATTTTCAATATTTTTGTGTTGCCGAAACTGATAATATAAACATTTTAAGTTTGTTTATATAACACAGTTGCGTATTTCTTTGGTATTTACTTAATAGTGATATTGCGCGTCAAATAAACATCCATTAAGATTTCTGAGAAAGTATTGCGAGGAAAAGAACACATCACTCGACGATGAACGACGGAAGCAATTGTTTATTGTTTGAGTCCGAATTTTTCTTCAAATTCGTTATTGTTATTCGTTTTTGTCATGGAAATATAGTGTAAAGTGATTTACTCTCGGTGGAATCACTGCCAAAGTCAGTCGGTTTCATTGTTTAGTCCGGATTTTCTTTTAATTCGTTATTGTTCGTTGTTCGTTTTGTTATGGGAAAATGTATAGATAGTAGGACTGGGGAGTTTAAGTGAAAGTTTGGATTGAGATTTTGGCGTGTGTAGTCTTCAAAAGCCGGCAATTTTTTTTGTGGAGAGGTGAATTAAGCTCAAAGGCAATGTGGCAGTTTTTGTTGAGTTAATCACCGATTTGTTGTGTTGTGCCCCATGTGGGAGATTTGTAAAGCAGCATCACAACAATTTGAGAGGTCCACATGGTTTTAAGCAGCATCGAAAAGCCACAGGAAATCATTATTGCTGCAGCAAAGAAGGTGATAGAAAATGAAAGACCACTTAGATCAGTAGCGGATGAATACGGGATTAATTTTATGACGCTTCAGAGATACGTCAAAAGATCCAGAAAATTAGGATTGATAGTGAGTGTAGTAAAATCGTAATTTTTTTTTCTATGAACACATGTATAGCACATGCCTCGTTAAAGTTTGTTTTTTTTTAGTAGCTAATACCATGCCTACAGGATATTTAAAAACCTATTATTAGATATTAGCTTGTTATGTTACTGAATGTTCGAAGATATATCATGGTCTTTTCCCAAAAGATCTTAGACAGCTTGCTTTTCAGTTTGCTTTAAAAAATAACGTATCTCCTCCTGGTAACTGGACCAAATTTGAGACTGCATCTGCTGATTGGCTAACACATTTTTTAAAACGCCACAATGAGTTATCTATACGTACCCCTCAGGCTATGAGCATAGGGCGAGCCACAAGCTTTAATAGGCACAATGTAAATTTATTCTTTCTCTGACAAACTCTCCAATGTATTAAATAGGCACAATCTTGGAGCAAATGATATTTATAACTTAGATGAAACCGGGGAGCATCAAAAGGTGTGAAGCAAGTGGGGGGCAGTTACTTCGAGGGAACGAGGAACATTAGTGACAGTGTATCTGGCAGTGAATGCCAGTAAAAACTCACTGCCACCAATCCTTATTTTTCCGCGGAAAAATTATCGAGAACATTTTGTTTCCAGTGGACCACCAGGATATATAGGAACGAGCAATCCTTCCGGGTTGTGGAATTCTTAGTTTATGTGAAACATTTCCATAAGAGTATTAAATGTTCTAAGGAAAGTCCAGTATTATTAATACTGGACAATCACGATTCCCATTTGTCGGTTGAGGTAATAGACTGTTGTAAGGAAAATGGCATTGTTCTCTTGACCTTGTCTCCGCATTGCTCTCATCGATTGCAACCTTTGGACAGATCGGTGTTTGGACCATTAAACAAATTTATTAGCAGTCAGATGGATGACAATAACAATTTATAACATTCCATCAATTGTTGGAAGTGCTTTGCCGTTAGCTGTAACTCCAAAAAATATACAGTCCCGTTTTCGTGCATTTTCTGCCATCATCCATTAAAGATAGATCTGAGTCGCAAGAAAATATGTAGCTTCAGTCACAAGCAGCCATACAAAATATACGAACATCACCAAGTACGCCACCACAAGTTATCAACAAGGAACCAGACCAAGATTCACAACCTTCAAATTCTCGCGCCTTAGTTACAGGACTTATTAGTCCTAAAGATATTCGTCCTATACCTCAAGCTCAACCCAGAAAAAATACTTACTGGGCAAAATAGGAAACGAAGACATACGACTATTTTGACGGACACGCCTGAAAAGCAAGCATTAGGTATGTATTACAGAAAGAGCAACTGAGAAACTTAAAAGCTAATAAAAAAGGAAAACAACAAGTCAAAAGGACAATTGTTTTAAAAGAAAGCGACGAAGAAAATGAAGAATGTTTCAGCATTATATGTTGTGATTCGTACACTAACTCAAAATCAAAAGAGAAATGGGGGCAATGTGTAGACTGTAAGGGGGCAATGTGTAGACTGGGCGCTTGAAATTTGCAGGGACAGTTCTCCAATTTTTGTATGCATACATTGCCAGTCTGATTAGTCTAATAACTGATTTAAATAATTTTTAAAAATGTCGTACAATATTTTGTATTTTAATAAAAAATAAATAAATAAAGTTCATTTAAAGTTTTTTCACTAAGAAAATTAAAATATTCTTTAAAAAGTATGAAAGTTACCAATGTAACAATTTGTCCCTGCCATGTAACAATTTACTCAATTGGAGGGTCTTCTTCTTCTTCAAGTTCCACTCCTATCGGAGATTGGAAATCATTCTGGCAAGTATAATTTTATTGGTTACGTGCCTGAATAGTTCAATTGAACTGCATCCAAACCAATCACGGAGATTGCGTAGCCACGAGATTTTACGTCTTCCTACGCTTCTTCTACCTTTGATTTTACCCTGCATTATATTCCTTAGTAGTTCGTATTTTCCACCTCTCATGATGTGCCCCAAGTATTCCAATTTCCTGATTTTTATGGAATTTAAAACTTCGCATTGTTTTCCTAGTTGTTTGAGAACTTGTTGGTTTGTTTTGCGATCCATCCATGATATTTTCAAAATACGTCGGTAACACCACATTTCGAATGCTTCTAGGTTTTTAATGTTGGATTTTTTAAGTGTCCAAGCTTCAACTTCATACAAAAGGGTAGAGAAAATATAACATCGAAGCATTCTTATCCGGAGCGATATATTGATATCGCGACTACAAAAAAGTTTTATCATTCTATTAAAAGTTGACCGTGCAATTTCAATGCGGCATCTTATTTCTTTTGTCTGATCAGTATCTTCTGTGATCCATGCTCCAAGGTATTTGTACGAAGATATTTGTTCAATTTCTGTATTATCTAGTACTAGCTTAACTTTGATGTTTTGTGCTGTTGTAAATACCATGAACTTGGTTTTCTTCAAATTGATTTTTAGTCCATAATCGTTGCAATATATATTTAGTTGTTCAGCAAGGTGTTGCAGTTCTTCTAGTGTTCCTGCCAGAAGGACGGTGTCGTCAGCATATCTTATGTTATTAAGTGGCTCACCGTTTATTATAAGGCCCTCACTGATCTCGGCAAGCGCTAATTCTGAGATGGCTTCACTATATAAATTGAATAACAAGGGTGATAAAATACACCCCTGGCGGACCCCACGGCGAATCTGGTTATTCTCGGTCAGTTCGTTTTCAACTTTAACTTTTGCTGTTTGATGTCAATAGAGGTTACAGATGATTCTAATGTCTCTACTGTCTATGTTTTTATTTAATAAAATTTCCTTAAGTCGATTATGCTGCACTCTGTCAAATGCCTTCTCAAAATCAATAAAACAGGCATATACTTTCTGATTAATATCTAAGCATCTCTGCGAAAGAACACTTACTGCAAACAGTGCATCTCGTGTTCCCAGTCCTTTCCTAAATCCCATTTGTGTATTACTTATGCCTTCATCTAATTTCTTATGTCTTCTATTGTGAATTATTTTTAAAAACAATTTCAAGACATGACTCATTAAGGCTACGGTGTTCTCATTGTTCATTGCACTCCTTTGCATTGGCTTTTTTGGGAAGTAGTATGAATGTTGATTGGAGCCATTCTTTAGGTATTATTATCTGTTCTATATATGGTATGGAATAGATCCAAAAGAAGATCAATAGATTCAGTATTCACAATTTTAAGTAATTCGATAGGAACTTCATCAGGCCCGGGAGATTTACCACCTTTAGCTTGTTTCATTGCATATTCAATTTCTTCTCGTGTAATGTCAGGCCCAGTATCATCCTTAAATTCTTTTGGTGCTTCTGTTCTCTCTTTGTCTTCAAAAAGTTGTGCTATATATTGTGTCCATCTCTGCATTTTTTGGTTTATATCTGTTATAAGTGCACCACTTTCGTCTCTTAGTTGCCTAGTTGGAAGTGTTTTTCTCATTTCTGTTAATTCTCTAATTCTTTTATGCATGTTAAAAAAGTCATGTTTTCTCAATTTCTTCTAGTTCTTGGCACTGCTCATGTCTCTCCTTAGCTTCTTTTATTCTCTTTTTTATTAATCGATCAATTGGGGGGTAATTTGATACAATTTGCAAGACAAATATATATATTTTTCCTAAAAGTGGGAAATTTCTTATAAATCTAATATTTAAAATAATTATATGGTGAGAAGTGAGGGCTTCTTACAGACATTTTTATGAGGTGCATATTTTACATATTTAATGCATAAAAAAATAAAATGTAAAAATTGTAACAACTAACCCCGGTCTCCCCTATATACAATAGGGTTGAGGACCGTATTTCTGATAGCTATAACTAAAAATATAACTCACCTGGTTGACTAGCTGTTGGAAGGCCGGCTGGTGGGGTTGTTCGAGATCCGCGTGAAGGGCGAAGTCGGAAAGTGCTTTCCAAGGAGGTTGGTACGCTTGTACCTCCAAGGGATGGACTCCGATGGGCGAGTCATGTCGAACTGGAGAAGACGCCACCATCGGGATACCCTGCATCGCCCCGTACCCCATCTTACGGCCATCCTGTGAATAATACTAAGTTAGGTTAGGTTTATTTGACAACAACCAAATCGATCAAGAACAAAATTTGTTATTATGTACCAGTATGAATTTACTTAATGTTAGATGTACATGAATTATAATAAAACTATAAAATTTGGATAATTATCTCCTTGATTTTGGTACTCTATAAAGTTACGTAGGGGAAGGGTGGACATAGTGCTTCCTGCACAGTACGGTGTTGATACACAGCGACAGGCCCGTCAACTCTTTCATTTGAACGTCATCTTAGATGTGTTAAAGTGTAATCTGTTCTGATCATTTGTTTAAAATTTACTAAAAATTTTCGTGTTTCTCAACATGCTGATATAAGGTAAGTGTATTTAATTAATTATTACAACTAAATTTTCATTCATAATACAGGCAAATTATAGTAACGTCTTAAAAGAGGTGTATTTAGGCTACAAAACGATGTGTCTGTGTAACGCCTTGCTCGATTCGTTATAGTAGTAAGTATATAGTATATTTTCTTCAAGATAAAAAAAATATACTTAGTATGTCCACTTTGCCCACCCTTCCCCTATATGTCCCAATAAACTGGACTAGGAAATGAATACCTTTAACAAGGCGAAAACATACAGATCTGCGTTGAATGGCTAAAATTTATTAGGTATAGTTAAATCGAGGTTTTGCAGACATAATTCATGAGATGTTACAACTTCGTCAGTTAATAATTTGACAACAGAACATTTGTCGAGTCATTTATTATTAAGCAAATTGAAAATCTCTCAAACCAAACAATAAAACTTGCTTTATTAAAAATGAAACAGCCATTCATGTTTCAACTACTTCTAAAACCCGAAAACCATAATAACACCTCTGAAACTTTTCGTAACCTCAAGCTAAATCCTTTCCCTAACTTTTCAACCCCTTAAAATACACCGCACATCGCCTCAGCTAATAACCCCGACGCCCTATCGATCAATCCCGCCCTGCTCCCCCTCTATGCGCGCCGCTCATCATCAATTCTCTTGGGGCGTGTCGCCAGCTGACGCACGCTCCTCCCACAGCGTTGCAACCAATCCCGAGGGGCCTGCGCCGACACGTGACTGCCGACTACGCACGCATCGCATCGATCACGGCAGATACGTGAGCCTAGAGACGGGTGAGATCCAATTCGAATTTTTGGTGATTTTTGTAACTTAACTTTTTTTATATTATGATTCAGGTTTTATAACAGATGTATCTGTTATTATTACATATACGAATATTATGCTTAACTGAACCTTCTCACTGTGGTCAATTAGAGTTAGTTAGTCTTTAAACTAGAAAACAAATACTACCTATGAAGTTATGTGCTATTAGATGAGGGGAAAAAACTAATACTTATGAAAACAAAAAAAAGTAGGAGCCAAAATAGTAAAACTAGCATTAACTGGTTGAAAGGAAAGTTCGATAAATATCTATTAGAACCTATATATCTCCAGCAGAACAAGAAAAAAAGAAAGAACGCAAGAGCTAAAATGCTAACATAGGTGATACTTATATTGTAACTAATTTTTTCAAGTCATGAGATAATCATAAAAGTGAGCATCATAAACCTATTGAAGGCATCTACCAAAACAATAAAAAGGAAGTCAGAATAGATGGATAACGAAAATCATATACATAAGCAAAGGAATAAAACAGTATCTAAGTGTTTAATGATAAGTAAGAAAACCAAAAGGATTCATCATCATCACCACGATGCTACAGTCCTCGACCTTCTCAAGCTTTCTTCGCCATTATGCTCTGTCCCTTGCTTGGATTTTCCAGTTGGCAACACCGATCTTCTCAGGATCTTATTGTTTCCCAAAGCATTAGTTCATCAAAAACTCAAGCCGGAAATATTTGTTGGAAATGTTATTATTCAGAAGAATACAAATACTCTGAGTTTTTATACAGTCTAAATCGGTCTGCAATAAGAATGCTACTTCGTGTTTATTCCTACAATAGATTTGTATCCATCAGAAAAGTTCCCATTGAAGCTTCATCGTTGTCAGATTCTCATTAAGGCTGCTTTTGCTATAATAATCAATAATACTTAATATAAACAGAACAAGAGAAAGATTATACATTGTCAGGCGTTGAGATATACTTGGCAAACCCAGTTTTTGGACGCGGACAACTGTATGCTGCCTTCTCGCGGGTGACTCCGGAGAGCAGATTAGAAAGTACGCGAGTTTTCTCGAGTAATATTGTTTACAAAGAAGCTTTTTCAATTGATACATATTTTTTTAATAGTGTTCGTCTGGTGCATCTCTCTGATGTACTTGAACTGAAGATATATTTGTGCATGAAGAAATACGACGGCATTTGTGTATAACAAAAAGATTAGTTGAAAACAAGTTTTCTTATTTTTAAATAAACGCTTATCGTTCGGTTTTATGAATTCGTCCTAGGACGGGATGAATAGCCCTAGCGCTCAGTAGCGCACCTAGAATTTTCCTTTGGGGGAGGGGGTTGGTTGGGCACCGAAATTTTTTTATGCTACCTCCGCCATTTTAAGTCCTTAACATTTGTGAATAACAGTATAGGCATAGGGTCCGGGGAAGAGGTTTAACCCCCAAAACCCCTCTGGGTGCGCCACTGCTAACGCTAGAGTCCTATTGCTAGTAAAAATATTAAAATACCAACCTTTTCTTGTTGCATCTGCTGCTTCATCAAAATCGTTTTTTTTTTATCCTTGCACCTCTTGTTCTGGAACCACACCCTGATGACTCTCGGCGATAGTCCCGTCATTTCAACCAGTTGTTCCTTCATCAGCGCATCCGGCCTTGGATTGGCTGCATAGCAGGTACGCAGGGTGTGCAATTGTTTTTCGTTGAGTACCGTTCGTACTCTCGTCGGTTTTCCGTCGCTTCCGGTTCCTCCTGACGCTCCCGTACCACCTCCAGATTTGCGTAGACTGCCTCCGCCTTTGTGGGAACCGCTTTCTGATCCAGAATCTGCAAGAAGAAATCAAATACAGTGGCAAAGGTAAATAGGGTGTAAGCAAATAAATACGCGCAGATCAACTGAGAACGAGACCACGATATAGGGGTTGCAGCTGTCAGTAATTGTGGATTTTTGATTAAACATGACACAGACACACACATATACTATACCTATGCCATGCTCAATCGGTAAATCACTAACAGCCACAATAACTGGCTCATCATAAGGTGAGATTTGTGCTTCGACTACTGCGCTTCCTAATCATGCAGTGAAGAAGTATGGTGCCGATAGGTTATATAACACTAGATCAAATAAGGTTAGGTTATCCAAACAAACAAAATTTTGCTGCTTTATTTTTTTTGCAGAAACGTCTACTTATGTAGGTTGCGCTACCTGTCGTCATGCATTTAAGAGTGTTCCTATGTTTGTGCGAAGATTGCCCAAACTGGAAGAAGAAATCACCAGTCTCAAAAGAAAAAATTACATTTATGGAAAATAGCAATTCATAGACAACAGCCAAAAGTACAAAAACGTATAGATAGAACTCAAAATCTTATGATTTATAAAATTCCTGAATATAACTATAATATATTAGCTGATCGCATTAGGTATGACAAATCTTAGGTGTGTAATGTCTTTCGTTTACTTGGCTTACAGCAAGAGGAATCCACCATATCACTTGTTATCCGAGTTAGCAGTGTCCAGTTACAATCAAGTTAGACCAGTCACAGTTATATGTAATGCTAACACGGTGAAATTGGCTCTTAAGTCTAGTAATACGCTTTAAAATACTGTTTATAGAATCTCAAAGGATTAAACTAAGATAAAACAAGGCAGCTAAAAAGAAACTAGAGGAAAGAAAATTTATATATTAGATACCGCAGTGGTGTTCCTACTATTTGTAAAGTTAATCTTCAAAAAACTAGTATCCTTCTCATTAACAGTTTTCTATCAAAATGTTGGAGGCATTCGTAAAAGGATTTCCGAGATCCTGAAAAGTATTTCCTGCTGCTTGTACAATATAATTATTTTAGTGTAGAGCAACTTGAATGATAAAATAACTGATTTTGAAATTAAATGGATTATGGCGTCATATGTCGCCATGTTACCTAATCCAACGGTAACTTTAACATCATAACATTTTATAAGAAATACTGTAAACCAAATGTAACTAATTATTTGTTAACGGGTTTTACCCATATATTAAGTGGCTACATTCATGTACTCCTAGACACTGATGATGGAATATGGATTCCGAAAACGTTTTGTCTAACATAGCCCGTTTGGGTTTTTAAATATATACCTTTTACAAAGGATTTTAATAAATTTTTTTAATATATGGTATACAGCCAACTACAGGAACGTAGATTCCTTGTGGATTTTAATAAAAGACTCTTCTTCTCATGGTGCCGTCTCCTTTCGAAGGTTGGCGATCCAAATGGCAATTGTGGTTTTGGAAACTGCTGCGCGAAAGATTTCTGCGGATCAGCGGTCGAACCATCTCCTCAGGTCTTTCAGCCATGAGTTCTGACGTCTTCCTACTGATCTTTTGCCCTATACTTTTCCTTCCAGTATAACTTGAAGTAATTCATATTTTTGGCCTCTCAACGCATGGTCCAAGTATTGCATTTTCCTCTCTTTGATTATTCTTAGTCATTCTTTTTGTTTACACATTCGACGAAGTACCTCAACATTAGTAACATCGGTCTGTATATATACATATCAAAGGCATCTATTCTTTTTTCTATTTCAGAGTCCATTTCTTTCACAACTTTCACAGCCAACAGCAAGACAGAAAAAACGTAACATTTAATTATTCAGATTCTAAGCTGCAGACTAAGGTCGTCTGATCTTGTAAAAAATGTTTTCATGCTCATGAATGTTTTCCTTGCTAATTCGATTCTTGATAGTATTTCTTTTTTGGGATTACACTGACTATTGATATTTGCTTTCAAATATTTTATGGAATTTACCTGTTCTATCATTTGACCTTTGACATACACATGTACGTTTATTGGTGTCTTTGAAAATACTAA